AGATTTCACCTCAAACAGCAAATCCCAATGCTCACAATTAAAGCAGGATGCAGACATTTTTTGCATTAGCATCAATAGTAGCAGGTATCCAGCCTGGATCACATATGTAGCAGAATACTGGCAAATATTATATTTCAATCAGTAAGATTCAGATTTCAAGGGGACAAATCACCAAATTCATCATTTTAATGCAGCACAGCCAAGGCATTTTGATTACATCCAGATATTTCCAGTTCTTGTGAATTGCCTTGTGCTTACACTATACCCTATATTCTTAAAGATGGCATGCAAACTGCAAAAGAAAAATTCATTAAAAGATCTGAGTGAATTTTAAGATCAGATCAATGCAATAGACCTACTGCTATTGAATTACCATCTTTCTATGGGGAGATTCTGAATGGGGCTCAGCTACCTTTAGTTTCTTTGCAGAAAGAAGTTGTTTAAATAGATAAGCTCATATCCAGACATAAGAATCATAAAATCTATATTGCCTTTCACTCACATTGATTGAAACTTTAAAATCCAACACCCAGTTTTCTAATGAACCATGGACTGAATATCCATTAAAATATGGTGGCATTTCTGTTTTCAATTCATTTTTTGGTTTGAGTTTATTAAGGTATTTCTGTCATCTGGATTATTTTTCCTACCACTTATCAGGTGAAGGCCCTGATTTGCTGGAGGATTCTACAGCACACAGGCCTGCTTCAAATCGGGGTTTGCTGATTCACTGTCTTATTGTCTAGACTTGAGAAAGTGATGGAGAAAATGTTAACGATGCTGATTAAATTTCAAAGTGTGTCATGACAATGGGTTTTTCCAGAGAGGCAGTAGTTAAACTTTTACCAACGCACCTCTACCTATAACTGGTACAATAATGAGGACCTTATATTGGTCTCTGGATAAGTGAAGAGTCTTAATTGTTCTACCTGTAATGGAGAATTCAAAATTCTCCATCTAAGTCACTGATTTGGGATTAATGCCTGTTGTATACCTAAGTATACTTTTAAGGTTTCTACTTATGTTGTTGTTCAGTCATTTTTCAGTCATGTTCAACTCTCTGTGACCCCATTTGGGGTTTTCTTGGCAAAGATACTGAATGGTTTGCCATTTCCTTCTCCAGCTCATTTTACTTATGGATTACATTTATTAAGGTTTTTTTTTCTATTTTCAAAATATCTCTATATATTCCTTTAAATTGAGCTTCAAATTTACACTGTGCTAAGTCAAAATTCCTGTGGACTAAAAGATCCCTGTTAATTCTTTACCAACCATGCTCCACATAAGCCGCCCCCAACCTCCCTACCAGCTCTGACCTTTCTGTTTCCAAATTTGCAAATATCTTGCAACTCAGACTGTGTTCCAAGTTAATGTATTTTTTCCCTGTCTTCATTTAATAATTCAATTTTCTTTAACCTTATATCTCTCTGCCTCCCAACCATATTCCAATTGTGTTGTTAATCCTAGTTTCTCCTTTTCTTACTATTTAAATCTCTCTTGCAAATTAGTACACTTTTCCAGCCTTTAGACTAGCAGCTTTCATATCTTAACATGTAAACCACAGAGATTAGGCTTTTAGGTGCACAGGCTAATGCTGTTTGCAAAATGTCTTATATGAATCATAACATTTTGCTCCTGGGTCATCAGACGTAAACTACCAATTACCATATGCAGTTTCTCTTTTCCATAAGGCATTTTCTAATTTGCTTTCTTGCTTAAGTAATTAGAGCTGCAGGGTGCAGCCTACTCTCCTTTTTTCTCCAGTTCCCGTTGGGTTCTTAAACAATTACGGTATATTGGTACATCCTCTGCATCCATTTGCTTAAAAAGCTGGATTCAACCAAGCGACTTATGTCTGCTTCCTCCCTTTGGGTGATCTTATCAACTCCCATGGATTTAACTATCATCTCTGTGAAATTATCTTCAAAATCATTGTCTTCAGCCCTCCTCTCTCTCCTGAGCCTAACTGCCTAGACATCTCCATCAGATGCCCCATTAGGATCTCAAATTCAACATGATAACCAACTGTCTTCCCTACTCAGCCCATTCTCCCAAACAGCTATTTCTGTTGAGGCCACCATCCATCTTTTGTCAACTCTTCTCTCCCTTCAATCCATATCTAATTGATTGCTAAGTCTTGAGAATTCTAGCTTCAAACCTCTCTAATATACGTACTCTTCTCCCTACTCATATCATAATCAAGATAATGAAGGACTTCATTCCCTTCATTTGGCAACTTGGTGGCACAGTAGATGGAGTGTCAGGCCAGGAGTCAAGAGGACTCATCTTTGTGAGTTCAAATCCAGCCCTAGACACTTACTAGCTGTGTGACCCTGGAAAAGTCACTTAACCCTGTTTGTTTCATCTGTAAAACTGAGCTAGAGAAGAAAGCGGCAAACTATTTCAGTATCTTTGCCAAGAAAACCCCAAATGGGGACAGGAAGAGTCAGACATGACTAAAAATGACTGAACAACAAATCAGCACTTCACCCAGACTATGAAAATAGCCTGATTCAGTCTTCCTGTTTCAAGTCTCTCCCCCGCCACCTAGCCTCTAAGTAGTTGCCAAAATAATATTCCCAAAGCACAGGTTTCAATGTTGTTCCCTTATTCAAGAATCTTCAGTGGCTCCCTATTGGGTCTAGAATAGATTATAAATTCCTCAGCTTGACATTGAAAGTTCTCAATCTGGTTCCAGCCTATCTTTTCAGACATTTAACATCACTTCCCTTCATAGAAACTGTGTTCCAGCCAAACTGGAGACATCTCAGAACAGTAGAAGCAAGCAATGAACTTGGACTGGAGTTCGAATCCCTGCTCTCCCATTTATTGTCTGATTTAGGGCAAGGCACTCCATTTCCCTGGGCCTATTTCCTCAGGCCGGTGAGCACCGGGAATACAAATCCAAGCCAAAAGGACAGTTCATGCACTTGAGTTTTTATCTTCATAGGGAAGACAACACCAACATGTGAGCTGAAAAGCAGGTGGTGTGTCAGGACAGGGAGCAGTGCGAGGGCATTGTGCCAGTCTGGAGAATGAAGGATGACTGCACTGAGCCCTCCTCAAATTAAGTGGGAGAGGAACTCCCCAGCAGTAAAGGATCTAGGCAACTGAAGCATGGTGGAAGAGTTCACACCTGAAAAAAAACAAGGAAAGTGGACTAGATGGAGATAGCTACTGAGGTCCCACGCAGGTCTGGCTTCCTTCAGGCTCTAGTGGGAAGCCTTGCCTGGTTCCCCTACAAATGCTCTCCCACAAATCATCCCGTGTGTCCTCAGGTATGTTCAAACTGTAGACCCCAACCCCTAGAATGTAAATTCCTCGAGGGCAGGGGATGGTTCTTTTATCTGGCGTCCCCAGTACCTCGAATACTACCTTGCACATAAGAACTGTAGTAATGTTTAATTGAATTACCGTCTCCCCCCTTCTTCTCCATCCCATCGGTCATCTCACTAAGAATAACCCCTCTTTCTGTGTGCCTTTGGCCCTATTCTATCCCACCTTCTCCAGGGCTCACTTGTGAAGTCTGGTCAATCATCCTTTTGGAACCATCCCCTGCCCCCCAATTCTATTTTCTCTGCCCTTTGATCAAGAGATTCCATTACTAAGGCCAGACCTCAAGGAAGTAGAAAGAAAAAGACAAAACAAAAAATCTTCATGTGCTAAGTGTCAATAACATTATTCATGATAAAGTGGGACACAAAATGTTCCCAACAATTGAGGAATAGCCAAATTATGGTGTATGAATCATGGTGTACTATTGATCTGCAAGAAATTACCAAGAGGAACTTTAAGAGACATATGGGAAGATTAATATGGAATGAGAAGAAAGAAAATTGCCAAAAGAACAACACACACCTAAGTACTTCCCTGGAATTGAGTAAAGGTCTTCTCAGAGCACTTGGGATTGCTGGGAGTCAAGCAATCCACTCATCCGATGGAAAGGGAGAGCTAAACTAGAAACCCTGATTGATTAGATGAAAAGGGAGGGAGAAGGAAGACTGAAAAAACCTCAAAGGAAGCAAGCCTAGGTCAATGATGTCACAGACAGCAGCAAAGCAGGATTGAGACAGAGAAGGGGTTTTTGAGGTTGTTAGAGAACCCAGGGCATTGTGTCTCATAAACGATGGAAGGACAATCTATCCAGTCATAGATATCAATCAGTTTTGACAACAGAGTACAAGGAATAGAAGTCCATTGGATCTGGGGCTTGGGCAATTGGCAACCTTAAAGGAGTGAGGGCTAGGGAGACTGTTATCATGCAGAGACAACTTTTTAAGAAATCTGGGATGAAAGCTGGAACGATCAAGGCAAGGTATCTTTCTTTAGAATTTGGGAGATCTGAGCATGTTTACCAAAAGAGGAGCCAATAGGGAAATACAGATAGAAGACGCATGCAGGAGGGTCCCAGAGGAAATGAGAATGGGATCAAAGGCACAGGTCTATAGGGATTTGGCACACGTAACCCAAAGGAAGAGGAAGAGCAGCTAGTATGGAGTTGTGAGGTATGAAAGTACTGAGGGGAGCTAAGGAAATCAAAGTCATTCAGTGAAATGATAGCTTGGGTCAGGATGACGAACCTGCGGCCTGGAGGCCACCTGTGACCCTATAGAAAAGGATCTGTTCAGTGAAGTTTGGATTCAGTCAAAGGGCCATACTTGAGGACCCAGAGGGCCACACTTGGCCTCAAGGCTGCAGGTTCTAAATGACAGAGGATTTCAGGGTTAAGAAGAAAAGTTTTAGAATAGATACTATGGAAAAGGAGATAGGGAATCACTGAAGTGAGATTAAAAGGGCGCTACAGCAACAGACAAGTCCCAGCTTAGGTTAATAAATTGAGCAGCTTGCAGCATATGTATCTATAAAACAGCTCTCCTGTGTTACTGAAAAAAAAAGAAACCTAAAGAATAAGTGAACCCAAGTGAATTTGTTAACAATGTGTCTATTTGTAACCAACTTAATTGGAACTAGATAATGATCTGGGAAAAACTTTCTCCACAGACTATGCCAAGAATTTTTTATTTGATGTTACATTAAAATACACATTTATAGCATTCAAAAGGGACTGCTTTATAAAATTCTAAAGTTTATTTAGACAGTAAGATAAACCCGAGTCTTACAATACAGCCCTTAAGATAAAGTTTTAATGTTAAGCACAGTTCTATTAAGAACTATTTATAGATTCTGGATGCATAGCTTTGCTTAAGAGGAAATGCAATGAAATTATACATTCTAATGAACATCAATTCCAAAGCACAATGTCATCTGGGTTCTAAATAACATTGAAGGAATTTCCACTCAATGGTAGAGCTCCAGTTTTTGCACAATAAAAATGATGACGATTCTATTGAGAGACTGATCACCAAGTCCCCGTGGCGGGAGGTTATGTTGTGACATGACCACAAACATTACACTAATGTTTGTGATAGCATAGGAACGCTTCTTATTTCAGAAAGAATTCTGAGTCTTGTGAGGCAGTCCTGTCTACACAGCTGAGAGAGGCTGGTCACTGCTGCTCTAGAGGAATTCCACACCCTCCATCTTGGGCAGTATTATACGACTCACAGCTCTTACACTTCATTCCTAGTATGTGGAACTGGACCGTTGAGCGGGCACTGCAGTCATTGCAGAGAATCTGTAACAAAACAACAACCGGAAAGACCTTCAGGAAAAGAATGTTCTTCCCAACAGAGCCAAGAAATATACAAACGTAATTTTGAAAACGTTTAGAAGATACTTTGTTTTTCTAAATTAGAAGTCCCAAAATGCCACTGACATCACTTCAAAGAATAATGAATTCAGAAAACCTAAATTTATAACCAATCACTTCGTTTTCTTTAAAAAGTGTCATTTAAAAATGAGACTAAACCCCAGGAAGGCTGCATGGCATAGCGAATGGGGAGCCAACTGGACTGAAGACCTGGACTCAAAATGCTCTCCACGTCCACAGAAAGAACTATGGAGTCTGAATGCAGATGGAAGCAGACTGTCTGCTCTCTTTTTTGGTTTGCATTGTTTTGTTTCTTCTTTCTCATGGTTCCTCCCTTTGGTTCTAATTCTTCCTTACAACATCACTAATGTGAAAATATGTTTAATAGGAACGTATATGTAGAGCCTATATCAGATTGCACGCCATCTTGGGGAGGGAGGTGAGGAGGGAGGGGGAGAAAATGTAAAACTCAAAAGCTTATGGAAGTGAATGTTGAAAACTAAAAATAAATTAATTTATTAAAAAAAAAAAAAAGAAAGAACTGGGTTCCAGTCCGGCCTCTGCCACCGTGGCAGGGTTCCTCCAGGAGTTACTTAGGCCCTCAGCGGTCCTACAGCACACAGAGCCCTGAATAAGACACGAGTCACCCTGGCTCCAAGCTACACAAAAATCCCATCAGCCTGTCAAGACGCCAACAGCTCGGGATTTTTCAGACTGGTGTATTATCTTTCCTCCACACAGAAAATCTCACTCCAGCTATTAAAATTTCCCTGCTTCCTTTCCAATCAAGCTGGGAGGCTTCCTGTCTGGACTCCATCAAACATCAGAATTTCAGAACTAGATGAGATGAAAAAACGAGGCTGAGTGGCTTGCTGAGATCCATTACAGCTGAAAAAGACCTTAGTAAAATGTTTTTTAAGTGACCAGAAAAGAAGTAAATTCAATTAAGAACAAAACAAAATTCAAGAGTAACACAAGCTCTAAAGCACAGCACAGTCACATCAATCTGTGGCACAGCCTGGGTCTGAGCCGTTCTCCCGACCTTAGGCTCGCTCTCTCTCCACAGACCAGGCTTCAAAATAAAATGCTTGTTCTTCAGATTGCGCTTCTCAGAAGCACGGAAGGGGTCATGAGTGAAAACAGTTCAAGAAGCCCTGCTTTAGATGGAGAACAGAGGTTCTAGGCCTCTGGGCGCAAGCACACAATTCTATTTTGCAATCACACACAACCCTCAAGACAGCCCAGGATGGAGGCAGAAGAGGCACTAGTAGCAGCCTTATGTTGGGGCTCTTAGGTCTATCACGCGATCTGGTAATATCTCAAAATTCGAGTCTGTTTTGGGGGGAGCCTTAAAAGACTCTGGTTTGTTCTCCCAAAAAAATGTTTTAGTGCAGTCAAGAAACAGTGAGATCGGGTATTTCAGCCGTTCCTAGTGATGTGGTAAGCCACAGAGTACGGGGTGAAATCCTGCCGCTTCTTCCCTCCTTACATTTTCCACTGAGGAGATCCTCAAGCGGAATCAGATCACTCTTACAAGGATTTTTTAAGGTTAGAAAGCAAATAATCTTGAGCTATGATATCATCTTTACCAATAACCCCAAGCACCGGCTTCAGAAGAGGAGGGGAGGGCGAGAGGAAGTCGCGACAGGTGTTAACCATTCGGGAACGACTTGAATACTCACTTCCACAGTCATATTCTGATACTCCGTTGGCATGGGCGTTTGCGCCACTTCGTTATCCAACTGCCGCCAATAGCGAGTCATGTCTAGAGCAGAGTGCATACACAAGGGGCATCTGTAGCCTCTAAAGACAAGAACAGAAGGTTTTCCCAATGCAGGCCCGCCTGCTGGCTTCAGGCCAATACCCAAACCACCTGAAACGGCGGCCATCCTGTCCTAGAAGCTGTCCTGGGACGAGGCAGTCTACAACCTTCTCCCTTGTTCCAATGCTTAATCACTCTTAGAATAAAGGTTCTTCCTCACATTGCTGTATTTCTTGTTATAACTTAATCCCATTCTTTCTTCAGTCTTCTGAAGAGAACTAGTCTGTTTTCTCTGCAAAATAACTACATAATAGCAGCTAACATTTATATAGAACTTACTATGTGCCAGGCACTAAGTAAGTATTTTACAATTATTATCTTATATGGGCCTCAAAACAAACCTGGGAAGTAGGTGCTATTATGTTTTATAGATGAGGACACTGAGGCAAACAGGTTAAATGATTTGCACAGGGTCACACAGTTAGTATATATCCCAGGCTGAATCTGAACTAATCTGAACTCGGGTCTTCCTGACTTTGGGCCCAGCACTCTATCCACTGCGCCACCTAGCTACAGTATGAGACACTGGATTGTCCATTAGCTTTTTTCTTCCCGGTAAATAAAAACAAAAGGACAAAATAACATTATTTAATCATTCAAAGCATGCGGCTCCCTTTCCAAAAACCAAAATGCTTAGCAGCTCCACATCTTGCACCTGATTTAAGCTTCTGCCTATGTTCTATCTACCATGATTTATTCTTATCAGGTCTGTGATTGCCCATCCTTTCTCACTGTCAAGCCTTCCTCCCTGGCAGGAGTGGGCAATACCAGACAGAGGCCTGGCCTCCAGCTCCCAGTCCGGGGCTAATTTTCCCAGTTCAGGGCTAACTCTCCCAGTGACTCGACAGTCACAGCTTCTCAGAGCCTGGTCAGTTTCCTTAGCTTTAAGGGAGTCCCTTGCAGCCCTGAGGCCATGTCATAACCCAGGCCTGCACAACCTGTGGGCCACTAACTGCACACCAAAGGACTTTAGGCAGCCCCGAAAAAATATGGAGGAAAGCATTCTTTACATTTTTCACAGTCCACCCAAAGTCCACTGGCATGCCCATGGGCCGCAGGTGTGCCTGTTGTAATCCAACGTCAATTTTAGAAAACCTTCTACATGTAGGATCGCCAACAGCTATCTAATCCAGCCTTGTGCTCTGGCAGTAGCTGTATGCCAAGTCTAAAAAAACAAGGACGTCTCTCTGACACGAGGGGAAGTCTTTGGAGAGAAGTGCACTGGAAGCATGGAAAGGAATATGGCCAGGGCTCTGTGCACATGCCTCTCTCCCCAAGTAGAGGAACTGACCTAGTTAACCTCTGGGTCTGTCTTCCTCTCAGGATGTTGAATATCACTCGCAGGGGCCTGGGAGACCCAAGATGTTATTAAACTGTTAAAATGTAGGATGGCCAGAATGTAAAATACTCACTCTTTTAACATTTCTTCATAACACGTTCTGAAAGAAAATACATTTATTTTTATTAAATTAAAATTTATTCAATTTTTAAAAGTTGCTTATTCTTTAATATTTTATAGGAAAACAAAAAAGGTCCCTTTTACCTACCTGTGTAGAAGATGTCCACAGGGCAAGACATGAGCAACCACACGGGACGTATGAATGTCCTGCAAAGGAGCAAGTACTGATGTCAGCTCTAGGCCAATGCAAAGATCGGGAAGGAGGGCAGAGCCGAGGAAAACAAGACAAGGCGAAACAAAAAGAAACGAAACTCACCTCTAAACATATGGGGCAATTCTGCCTGGAGACATTCTCAATGCACTGTTTAAAAACAAAGACAAAGAGAATTTTTTTTTTAAATTTACAACTGGATCAAAGGATGTTTCAGAGCCACCAAAGAAGCAAAGGTCAACTATTAGCTAATGTGAGAGTTAGAAAGAAATGCCTTTCTCTGAACAGGAACATAAACTGTACATCCAAAGAGATAAATACACAGACATGGAGAAAGGAGAGAAAGCAAGGGGAGAGGCCTCCACGAAGGATCTGAACTAGGGTAGGGATCACGAGTTAAAAAGAGAAGGAGATAGATGGGAAATACTTGCAACGTGCAATTTGATATGGCTGAAGGGGAGCCCAGAGGCCAGGGTGACAGCACGGTTTCAAACCTGAAGACTAACAGGGGCATTGAAACTGGGTGGAAGTTTAGGGGACGGAGTTAGGTTAAAAGCACAGGCTGTTAACAAGAATGACAGTGATTTACAAAAACCTCCATCAGTTAAGACCTGACAATACCACACTACAGGTGACATTGTGTTAAGTATTCTTTACAGGTTTAGAAGACGAGGCAGGGAGCTCAGTGACCTTCATCTGGACTCCCGCAATGGCCTCCTGTCTCCAGACTCTTCCCTCCTCCAAACCACTCAGTGCACTCCAATCAGACTGACTGTCCTCATGCACAGCACTGACCACATCCAAGACTCCTTGCCAACCTAATGAAAACCCAGTTCGTTCAGCCTGCCATCTGAGGCCTTCCACAACCAACCAACTTTTCTCACTGCTTGCCTTCTTTATCCACCCGAGCTAAGCTCAACTCCTCATCCCCTCCCCCCATTTCTCACCTCTGCACATCCCCTCAGGTCCCAAAGCCTAAAATGTCTTTCAATCCATTTCGAACCACACCCTCTTCCTCCTCAGAACCCACAGATTCTCATTCTCGGAAACCTGGTTAGAACAAGGCTTTCACAAAGTTTTCCCCAATTTTACCACCCTTACCCCGAGAGAATCTGTCTCTCTAAGTGTCAGGGCAGTGGGTTCCTAAATTCTCATTATGCCCTACGGAGTCTATCTTATATTGTGCACTCACTTTTGTGGACTTCTTAGCTGCTTCACTAGCCCCAAAGTTTTTCAGAGGTAAGTATGTTTCCTTACTTATCTTTGTTTCTGCTCTGATTTTACCTTATTTCTTAATATACAGTGTCAAATAATAAAATCTTGGTGGACATGCATGCAAAACCCTGAAAATTTGCTAGGTGTCAAAGTAATCTAATTTGTGTACCTTGTGATGCCCTTGGAGACTCAAAGATAGGCATAGGTTACATTTCAAACAGTGAAAAAATTCTTCCTTTGGACCAATCCTGATAAGAGAAAGAAAGAGAAATGAAGTGCAAGGCAAAAAAAATTAGGGTTAGCAGAATCACAATTTTTAGAATTCCTTTTCAAATTAAAGAAAGCCACTTAAATTCTATCTCAAATTGGAAACTTAAACCCTGAGTTTCTCAAAGCCAGATGACAGAGAAATGAACAAAATTAAATTACAAAGAAAAAAATCCTAACCATAAAGAAATTCAAATATTATAAACAAAGACCAAGAATCTTTTCCTAAAACAAAAATAGAGGAGCTTTAAAACCAATGGCATTTTATTTTCTGAAACAAACCCAAACTGATTTCTACATTAGTAAATATGTAAAATGTAGTATCAAGATAATTTCCTACCAAGAAGTTTTATTCATCACCCAAAATTCAATCTCCTCTGTAGTGGTTTCATAGTTTTCATTATACTACACTTCAGAATAGTTTTTCCACTAGAGAATATTCCTATTCAGATTCAAAGAGTAAGCAATCTTTTCCTTTTACACACATACTCGCACACACAGTGACGCATCCATTTAATTAAATGCATGTCAGAATGGGATAGTGGGGTCATTACTTTGCTCATCAAAAGCACTTACTAACTGCTTTTACATCCCTTCACTCAACACTGGCACTATGACAGCCTTAAAATGTGCCCTGGCTTTCCTGGAAAGCACAGGCTCAGGAAGAGTTCTGCAATTTCCCCAAAGCAAGCCAGTCCCCTTCAATTCTGGACTCAACTCCCCTTTCCTTATCTGGTCTGTACCAGACAGACATACTGGTGGAGAAAGTAAGGGAGCTAATTCTATGTACAAGTACAGGCAAATCATTTGCCACCCTGTTCCTCAGTTTTCTTAACTGTAAAATAAAGGGCTACTATTAAATCACCTTCAAATCTTCTTATGCTTCTAAAATACTATGAAAAGGAGGTCACATGGAGTAACATGAATGAACTATAAGTTACCTGGAATTTTAACTAACTGGTAATTCCCATTCATACACAATGTTTGATATAATGATGAAACTCTGACTTACACAATCACTTTCTTTTTTTTTTTAGGCAATTGGGGTTAAGTGACTTGCAGGGTCACACAGCTAGTAAGTGTCAAGTGTTTGGTCTGAGGCTGCATTTGAACTCAGGTCCTCCTGACTTCAGGGCCGGTGCTCTATTCACTGCGCCACCTCGTTGCCCCCTACACAATCATTTATGACCTTTGGTTAACATATAACAATGGTTATTGGCAACAAGCAAAATGTTTAACAACAACGTGTAGTGAATGTTCACTGAACCAATGGTAGCACTCCAGACGCTACACAAGGAACAAGGGAGAAAAATCTCTATCCTGGTTGTGGCCCTTTCTTCTTCACACAGATGCAAGTAAATCAACCCTTTCAAGAACTAGCTCAAAACTGACATTTTCCAAATTCGCATTACTGATCCCCAAGTCATCTTATTTCCGTATTCCCTCAGCCCTTATACTGTAGTTTCCAATTCACAGTTCAGTCGTGCCCAACTCTTCATGCCCCTGTGGACTGCAGCACGTCAATATTGTCCATGGCATTTTCTTGGCAAAGGTACTGGAGTGCTCTGCCATTTTCTTCTCCAGCGCACTAAGGCAAACAAAAGTTACGTGACTTGCCCAAGGTCACACAGTTAGTAAGGTCAGATTTGAATTCAGGTCTTCCTTAGCCCAGGCCCCGTGCTCTATCCACTGAACGGCCTCACTGCCTTTACAATTCAGTATGTTCCATCTATCTAGCCCTGACAGAGCCATTCATTCTCCAGTCTCTCCTTTATATTTGAGATGGCCCTGAGACAATTCTAGATTATCTAGATTTTCCACAATTCTAGAATTTGAGAGCTGATAAGAGAACTCAACAGACAACTAGTCTTTTTTTTTTCTTTTTTTTTTGGCTGGGCAATGGAATTAAGTGACTTGCCCAGGGTCACACAGCTAGTACGTGTTATGTGTCTGAGGCCGGATTTGAACTCAGGTGCTCCTGAATCCAGGGTGTTCTATCCACTGTGCCACCATGTTGCTCCATCAGCCAAATAGTCTAACCTAGAGACTAGTAACCACTCACTGCTGGAGAACATAATAAAAGAAGGGACATCTGGGCACACACTGACATGGACCCTAGATTTCAAGAAGGCAGAAGGATTGATTCAAAGGAAAGATAGGTAGGATCCTATTGACTAAAATGCTTCAAGGGAGGTAAGCCCAAGAGGATTAGACGCTCAAGAACAAAATTCTGAATACATGAAGAAAAAAATGTCAGAGGGGAGAAAATGGGATTTGCCTAGAAAAGCTAAATGTAGATATATCAAGCAGTTTCTATTTCAAAAAGAAATTTATAGAAGGTTGTAAGGCAAGGTACCAGACGATGAAACTAAGAGGGCATAATATGGGTGCATATGGTCCTGTAAAAAACACTGTCAGCACAATTCCGAAGGACTTATGATGAAAGGTGCTATCCATCTCCAGAGAAAAGATCTGGTGGAACCTGAATACAGATTGAAAAAACTTTTTCTTTACTTTATATTTGGGTGGTTTTTTTTTAAAAGTCTGTTTTCTTTCACAGTATGAATTACACAGAAATGTGATTTGCATGACTACACATATATAACCTATGCCAAATTGCTTGCTTTCTCAATGGGGGGAGGATTTTGGAACTCAAAATTTGAAAAAAGAATACTAAAACTTTTTATTGGTAATGAAGGGGGAAAATAAAATATTAAATTAAAAGAAAAAAGAAAAAACACTCAGCAGTGCTAAAAGGCAGAAGGCACCAAGGCTAGTGAGGGAGGGTAAAGACAACAAAAAGGGATGGAGTCTGCAAATAAAGCCAGTTTGACTTCAATTCCTAGGAAACTCCAGAACGGTTCAACAAAGAGATGGCTGGGAAGCTGGGATTACAAGGGGCTGGCATGGCTCCATCAAGAACAGGTCAAACCAGACTAACATGATTTCCCTTTAGACAGGGTCACTCTACAAATATTAATGTTCAAAGCACTGGCTTTGAAATAGTGGCAACAAGGGAATATGGTTAAAGTGCTAGAGTTGAGAGTCAGGAAGACTTAGAAACAGAACCGGGATGGAAATACTCAATCAGACCATTAACAGTGTAACACAGAACACTGTTGGTCTGATAACATGTGCTAGGCCAAGGCCAAATGAGCGTATTGGGGGGGAGAGGGAGGGATGGGAAGCAACTGAAATCCTACCAGCAAAAACACTCATCGGAATTCGTATTGACTTAAGGAGAATGGTGATTCTGTGTCCATCTCCTCACCAGCTGCCTGGCCAAAGCCTGCCACCAAGCTCTGGAAGTTGACCCTACCTGTGGTCCTGCTGAAACTTTAGCTTGTACCTCACTTAACTCACTACTTCAAGGAGGCCTCAATCACATTTACTCTACTTTCTAGTCCTTAACCACCTCCTCCACAGCTGTCTGGCCCCTCACAAGATCCATTCATTCAGAATTATTTGGGCCATAAAATAGTTTATATTCACCAGAGGCAGCTCTTCTTGCAAGAACTATAAGTAACATATGCAGGTTGAATTCAATGTAAAAAAACATACATAGAACAAACAAAAACCTTATACAACTAGCAGATTTACAAGAAGCAGCTATAAAGTGTCACTCTCCAAAGTAGTCTCTTTGGGAAGTCATATCAACAAAATCATGCTTAAGGCATTTTTTAAAAAAAGGTTTCTAAAGGAGAAGGGATTATTGTCAGAGCTACACAAGAAAAGTCAATTTTATAACTTTGTGGTAGTCCTCATCTTCTAACAGTTTTAACCCAACTTGATTATCTACTATCTTATTCACCAGACTTGGCTATAAATTTGTTGTTGTCATTTAGTCAATTACTTGTGTCTGACTCTTCATGACCCTACTTGGGGTTTTCTTGATAAAGATACCGGAGGGCTGTTTGCCATTTCCTTCTCCAGCTCATTTTACAGATGGGTAAACTGAGGCCAACAGGGTGAAGTGGCTTGTCCTGGATCACAGAGCTAGAGAGTGTCTGAGGCCAGATTTGAACTTGGATCCTCCTGACTCCAGGGCCAGTGCTCTAGCCACTGCACCACCTAGCTGCCCTGGCTATAAATTACAATTCCAAACATTTAAAGCCAGTCTCAAAGAATAAAGACTTGCCACCACTGGGATATTCTGGACAATCGGCTACAGCCTCTGAAGAGTTCAAAGTATACTAATGATAGCTTCCTCAGAATATATAACTATATAGCAGCTAAACATTATAAAGTCACATTACACATATAAAATGTACCAAGCAAAACAAATTTTCCTAATTTTAAGATTTCTTAATCAAGGAAAAGGAAGATTTAAGCTCCACTTTCCAATGTCTATGTATTTTAAGAGTAAAGAAAACAAATGGGAAAAATGGCAAACTCAAATGTTTGACCTGACTCAATTCACAGCGGCTCCTATGAATGGGAAAGCCCGGCAGACTTTATTCCTTCTGTGAATTACATTCTGTTAATTTTAATTACTTAAATTTTCCTTACTTAATTTTCTAACTCCCATAAAATTTTGAAAACTTCTTTTATTAAAAAAAAGTTTGTAACTTTCTGTATAGTTATGGAAAAGTAATCATCATTAGCTCAATAATGGAGCAGTGGATTTTCATTTTAAAAGGTCTCAAATGTTTCAGTGTATACCAACAAACTTAAAAGGAATTTGTTTATATAGTTAATCAAGTAACAGTACTCTGAAGGAGCATTCTAATTATTTACTAACAAAATATAAAATTATACGACTCCTTATGCTAAATCAGAATCTCTAAATTGTACATTAAAGTTTAATTATTTCCCAAATGTAAGAGGCACAGTGCTTTTTAGAAACTTGTTATGAAAAGTACCACAGAAATTAAATATTTATCTTAATGTTTAGTGAGAAATAATCACTTGAAAACAATTATTTCCCTACACCTCTTAATAAGTTTGATAGCTATAGATGGACATCACTTATATAGAAAATGCTTTACCTCAGTTGTTTCTTAAACACTTGACCTGAAAATATTTGTTTGCAGCAGAAGTTTAAAAAACTAAAACAATAATAATGATTTTTAAAATGATGGTCTTAAAAGTAAGGGAGCAAAGGACAGTTTACATACAGTACCTACAAATTCCACACTTCTCACAATGGTACTGCTTCTTGTCTTTGTCAAATAGGTGGCATATATCACAATAGTATTCTCCAAACACAGTGCTACATTCTTCACAAGTCTGTTGAGCCTATAAGAAAATATGAAATAAATATTTAAAATAAATCATCAAAACATGCTGAAGTGGAATTCTAATACCCAGAATTACTAGTTCTTATCAAAGTACATTAATATATTTAACTAATTTTAACTGATATAGAAACTACTTTGCTCTTAAGATTAAAAGTGCATCTTCACACAAAAACATGATCATAGAAATTTAAGAACTTTCAAATTATCTCATGATAAAAAATGCTCACAAAATAGAAATGGATCATAAAGCCTTACATTCTGAACTTTTCCACACTTTGTACACTGTACTTCTTTCACTTTAAAACGGTCCAGAGGATGATCTTCGTTGTTATCATGGCATAAGCGGCAGATGTAAAGTTTACCACAGCAAGGAGCCTATCCAAAAGAAGAAAAGATTTCAATGTATTAAATTTTTTTTTCTTTTTTTCTTCACATGAGATAAGCAGCACTCTGCAATGGAAGTCAGAAAGGCTATATTGGAATTCCATTATTAGCTGTGTCCTTGGCAAGCCACTCAAACTCGAGATGAGGGTGTACCACATCCCTAGGAAATTAAAGTCAATCTCCTTGGTCTTTTCCTGACCTTGTAAGGCCAATGTAAAAACAAGCTCTGTCATCAAGAACCACACACACCCTGAATGAAACAGTAGCAAACTCTGTCAAATTTGGCCAAATTCAAAAAGGTTTTGTATTTTGGGGGCAATGGTGCTCTCCAGGCTGATCAGCTTAGAGGGCTAATCCAGGACCAACTTCCTCTGCACTCTGAATCCCTCTTTTCAATGAAATTAATCCATTCCAAATCTGGATAAAATAAACGCAGCACACTAGAAAACATAAATGCATTTTCAGAAACTTCAACTGAAATGCACTCCATTAACGGGGTGGGGGGAGGGGTGGAAGAGAACCAGAGCCAAGATGGCAGAGAAAAGGCAGGGGGCTTGCCTGAGCTCTCTCAAATTCCCCTGCCAAACAACTGTTAAAATAACACCTCAAAAAGAATTCTGGAGTGGCAGAACCCACAAAAGGATGGGAAGAAAAATTTTCTAGCCCACGATAACTTAGAAAGTCAGCAAGAAAGGTCTGTCACACGGGGTGAGAGTGGAATCCTGTTCAGCGTAGACAACACTCAGGAAAGCCAGCAGCAGGCCTTGGGGGCAACTGAATCAGCAGCAGAACTAGTCAGAAGGCGATCACAAGGGTCCCTTTGCTGACATGGGGTGTAGGACTCTGTTGCATTACCCATGCTCAGATTCAGGTCACAGTTCCAGGGCAGGGAGGAACATCTGCACACCAGAGCTCCCAAGCTATAAAGGAGCAAGGACCCTGATCACAGCTCCAGGGTGGAAAAGAGTGTGTGTGGTTGCTCAAGGACCAGAGCACAGGCCAGGACAGCAGTCAACACCTCTCCTTAGATCGCACCAACTTGGAAGAACTGAAAACTTACAGACAGCTGAACAAAAAAACAACCTTGGGATAGGGTCCATTCCACCCTGAGAGCAGAGCCTGACTTCAACCTCAATTTAAAAGTCAAGAAATAGCCTGGAAAACAACAACAAAAACAAAAAAAAGAATCTGACCACAGAAAATTACTATGTTAACGGGAAAGATTAAAACACAAACTCAGAAGAAGATAAAAAAGTCAACTGCTACATCCAAAACCACAAAGAAATGTAAATTGGTCTTAGGCCCAAAAAGAATTCCCAGAAGAGCTCAAAAAAGATTTTAAAAATCAGATGAAAGAGATAGAGGAAAAAATTGGAAAAAGAAACGAGAATGATGCAAGAAAATAATGAAAAACATCAATAGCTTGGTAAAGAAGGCACAAAAAAGTACTGAAGAAAATAACATCTTGAAAGGAAAAAAAAAAACAGAATAGGCCAAACAGTAAAAGAGGCACAAAAATTAAATGAAGAGAAGAATTCCTTAAAAAGTAGAATTGGCCAAGTGGAAGCTAATGATTCCATGAGACATCAAGAAACAATAAGACAAAAATCAAAAGAATGAAAAAGTAGAAGAAAATGTGAAATATCTTTTTGGAATAACCACCAACCTGGAAATTCATCAAGGAGAGAGAATTTAAGAACTACTGGGCTACCTAAAAGCTATGATACATCATCTTTCAAAAAATTATCAAGGAAAACTGCTCTGATATCCTAGAACCAGAGGGTAAAACAGAAATTCAAAGAATCCAATGATCAACTCTTGAAAGAGATCCCAAAACAAAAACTCCCAGGAATATTATAGCCAAATGCCAGAGCTTCCATGCCAAAGAGAAAATACTGCAAGCAACCAGAAAGAAACACTTTAAATATCATAGAGCCACAGTCAGGATAATACAAGTTTTAGCACTTCCTACATTAAAAAACTGAAGGGCTTGGAATAGGCTATTCCAGAGGGCAAAGAAGCTAGATCACAACCAATAATCACCTATTCAACAAAACCGAATATAATCCTTCAGGGAAAAAAAGTGGATATTTAATGAAATATAGGGCTTTCAAGCATTCCTGATGAAAAGACCAGAATAGAAAATCTGACTCTCAAATATAAGACTCAAGAGAAGCATAAAAAGGTATACATGAAAGAGAAATCATAAGGAATTCAACAAAGTTAAACTGTTTCCATTCCTACCTGGAAAGAAGATACCTGTAACTCCTAAGAACTTTATTAGGTGTTAGCAGTATACATAGACAGATGTGATGGGGATGGGTATGAGTTTACAAAGATGGGATGATATAAAAGAAATACAATTAAGGGGTTAAAAAAAAGGGATGTAAAGGAGAAGGAGGAAGGGGAAGGCAGAATGGGGTAAATTATCTCACATAAAAGGCTCAAAAGAGCTTTTACATTGGAGGATGTGAGGAACAGTGTTTGAACATTACTCTCATCAGAACTGACTCAAAGAGGAAATAACATTCACACTCAGTTGTGTATACAAATCTACCTTACCCTACAGGAAAGCAGGAGGGTAAGGGGATAAAAGAAAGGAGGGGAGGGGGGTGGAGGAGAGGGCTGATAGAAGGGATGGCAGATTGGGGAGGCAGTAGTCAGAAGCAAAACACTTTCAAGGATGGACAGGATGAAAGAGAGTAGGATAAAAGAGGAAAACAGGATGGAGGGAAATATACTATTACTAATCATAATTACAAAAAAATTTTATAGCAAATTTCTCTGATAAAGGCCTCATTTCTCAAATATGTAGAGAACTGAGTCAAATATATAAGAACACAAGCCATTCCCCAAATGAGAAATGGTCAAAGGATACGAACAAGCAGTTTTCAGGCAAAGAAATCAAAGCTATCTAGTCATAAGAAAAAATATTCTCAATCACTACTGACTAGAGAAATGCAATTGAAACACCACAGAGGTACCACCCTAAACCCTAGCAGATTGACTAATGTTACAGAAAAGGAAAATGACAAATGTTTGAGGGGATGTGGGAAAATCGAGATACTCATGCACTGCTGGTGGAGTTGTGAACTGATGTAACCATTATGGAGAGCAAATCTGGAACTATGCCCAAACAGCTACAAAACTGTGCATACTCTTTGATCCAGCAATACCACTACTAGGTCTGTATCCCAAAGAGATTTTAAAAAAAAAAGAAAAGGACCTATATGTAGAAAAGTATTAACAGCAGTTATTTTTGTGGTGGCAAAGAACTGGAAATTGAGAGGATGTCCATCAGTTGAGGAATGGCTGAATGAGGTATATGATTGTTACGGAATACTATTGTGCTCTAAGAAGTAAGCAGCATGTTCTCAGAAAAACCTTAAAATACTTACATGAACTGATGGCAAAGTGAAATAAGCAGAATCAGGAGAACATTGTACATAGTAACAACAATAGTGTACAATGATCAATTGTGAATGACTTAGCTATTCTCAGCAATACAATGATCCAAGACAATTCTGAAGCACCTATGATGAAAAATTCCATCAACTTCCAGAGAAAGAACTGATGGAGTCTGAATGCAGATCAAAGCATACTTTTTTAAACTTTATTTTCATTTGGGGTTTTTTTTTTGGTCTGTGTTTTCTTTCACAGCATGACTAATGCGGAAATGTTTTGCAAGACTACACACGTATAACATTTATCAAATTGCTTGCCATCTCAGGGAGGTGGGAGGGAAGGGGAAGAAAGGAAAGAATTTGAAACTCAGTATTTAAAATAACAAATGTTACAAATTGTTTTTACATGTAATTGTGGAAAAAATAAAATATTAAATTGAAAAAAAAAGACAGCTCTATCTTAATTAGATGGTTAAACTACCAGTCCCCTGGTAAGTGAAGTCCTATCCTTGAAAAAAAAGGAGACATTCAGAGGTCTTTTGAAAGTTAACAAAAGGAGACCCAGGTAGGCAGATCAGGGTCAGCTGATTCAGCTAACAAAGCTCCCCTGACTGACAAGACCCCCAGCCAATCACCAGGGTGGGCTTGAAGCTCATCCTGGCTCTTCTGTACTGAGGTGAACAGAGAGCGGAGGCAAGACCCAAATTATGATTTTTATAATAATCTGTATTTGTTTTTTTTCAAATGTGACAAGTCCTTTGGGTAAATCACAACCTCCCTGGGTTCCTCATACATGGGGGGGGGGGCGGAATTTGACGTGGTGGGATGGAGAGAGTGCTTGTCCCAGACTCTGACTCTCACTAGCTGTATGTCCCTGGGCAAGTCACTTAACCTGTCTGCCTCAGTTTCCTCATCTGTAAAATGGGGGTAGTAAGAGCAGCTGCTTCCCAAGGTTGTTGTGAGGATCAAATGAGACGGTGTTTGTAACCGGCTGTGCAAAGGCTAACTACACAATGATGATGATGATGATGATGTCAATCACCGACAGCTAGACCCGAGGAGTTCCAAATCCAGACGCTCCCCAGCCGTGTGACCCTGGGCAAGTCCCTTCGCCTCTGCGTGCCTCAGTTTCCTCAGCTGTACAGGGGGGATAATAACCACACCCGCCTCCCCAGGGCTGTCACTTTAGAGCCTTACACAAAGCTAGCAGCGTGTCAGTGACGACCGCAGCGGGAGGTCGTCCAGATCTGTCTGCCTGCTGTCCCCCCACCCCCCATGGAAGGCTGTGGAGGGCTGGGGCTCTCTACAGTAGGCGCTTAATAAATGCACAGGGACAGCCCCCGCTGTCAAACGTTGCGCCCCTTCCGCTCTCCGCACTAACAGCCCCCAGCTTTGGTTCTGGGGCACTCGGCCTCCCGCGGGCGCAGGCCCTCTCCGGCGCAGATCGCAGCCCCGGGCGGCAGAGCCCTGCCCTCCCCCACGGGCAGAGGCTCCCTCCCCTCCCCCAGCCCGTCACCTTGAGGGAGCATCCGCGGTCGTAGTGCTCGCAGCCCCGGCGCGCTCGTCCCTGACCGCCGCCAGCGTCTTCGCTCTCTGCCGTCGCCATCTCCCACTCCTCCTCCCGCCCAGCGCCGGGTCCCAGCCCGCGCTGGAGCCGGAGCCGGGGCCGGTGCCGGAGCCGGGGCCGGTGCCGGTGCCGGTGCCAGAGATTAGCCGGGGCCGCTCTAGGCCACCGCCGCCTCTACTGCCCGGCCGCGCAGCCGCACCGGGCGGAAGCGCCGCGGGGCACGTGACCCGCTCGGACAGCCCTACTTCCGCTTCCTGGGAAGATCCGGCGGAAGAGGTAATGCGGTTTATAAACCCTGGTGCCTCCGGCAGGTGTGAATCTGTAATCAAAGCAACCACCCGTCCGCCTCTCCCATTCGCTAGAGGCCTCTGAAGTCCCGCCCCCAGCTTTATGCTCCTGCGAAAGGAGTGGCTGGAATAGCAGGGAGCCGCCCTGCGCTCGGCTACTGACGAACCAACCCAAGCCTCCGAACCGGAGAAGCTCCGCCCCCTATTCTTGACTGGAGAAAAGACTGCAAAGAGAGCGCCTGCGCGTGGAACTGGCTCAGGTCCTACTTTCTCAACCAGTGAAGCCCCGCCCTCTTTTCCTGAGGAGGAGAGCGCGCCTGCGCCGGGGTCTGGTCTGGGGAGGAGAAAGCTGTCCGTCCCGTGATTCACCTCCCGAAGGTTACACTAGAGGCGCCACGCATTTACCGTCATCTTAAACATCCCAAACTGGAAGAAAGAAAAGAAAAAAAGCAACCTGCCTTTTTACTTGCCCTCTGTGAAATTGTCCTTGCTTTAGGTTTTGGTGACACTGCCTTTACCTGGGTCCTTGTAACTGATTAATAATTAATGCTGGTTGATTAACCCAATACACATCAAAGTGCAGAAATACCATCAAAACCACTCTGAGGATTCCCCTCCAAAAATAAGCATTTATTAAGTGCTTACTGTAATTACTAAGGTGAGGATAAGCACATCTATAGGTATATTCATACCCCTCTCTGCACCTTGACTCACACCTTCATTACTTCTCACCTAATTTATTGCAACAGCTTGTTGACTGGAGTTCCTGCCTCAGTATCTTCCACACAATCCTCTAGTCTAGCAAAAACAATAAATCAAGCTCTGACTGGTATCATTTGCCAGTCTCCAAGGTGTAAATGCTCCCTCTGGAAATTTCTAAAAATTTAACAGTGGCTCCCAGGTGCCAGTAGGCGTCAGCTCCAGCACACAACGGAGTTGAAACCACTCCCATTTGGCTCTTGTGCCTTGACCAGGGTGAAAATATCTTTGAGACTGAATCAATCAAACAGACCTGAATGGGACTTGGGGCTGTGAATCTCCTTGAATCAATCAAAGCCATTGGTGAGGACTAGTTCAAGCTCTAAGCAATAAGGGAGAAGCTATCTCAGATTCAGAGCATCTGAATTCTAGTTCTTCAGTCCTGTCAGACTTTTCAGAACCCCATTTGGAGTTTTATTGGCAAAGATACTGCACTGGTTTGCCATTTCCTTCTCCAGCTCATTTTATAGATGAGGAAATTAAGGCAAACAGGGTTGAGTTATTTGCCCAGGGTCATTCAGCTAGTAAGTGTCTGAGACTGGATTTGAATTCAGGAAGATGAGTCTGCCTGACTCCAGGCTCAACCACTCAGTCCACTGTGCAACAAACATGGTGCAAAGAGAAGACTGAACTGTGGCAGAGACAGGAAAAAACAAGGGGAGTCATTGGCTTTATAAGCATCTTGAGATTGGATGATCCAGGGGCAGAGAGAAGTCCCCCCCCAAAGGTCAGCCCTTTCTCTAGCTTCTCTCCTCTTCCCCAACTATGTCTGTCTATCTAAAGACACAATAATTAATCTAAAAATCTGCTGTTTTGTCACCCACATGCTGCCTGTAAACTAATTTTGCCAAGGGTTAACTAGAGGTAGATATAAATAGAAGGTTAGGCAGAGTACCCAACCTCCTCTTACGTGATAGGTATTTTCCTTACTGGGAGCTCAAAATATTTGTGGCTGATCTCACAATTCTTCATTTAAAATAAACTCCCTAAAGCCCAAGACAAAAGAATCAAAGGGACCTTAGGTGCCATTATATTGCCCACTATGGTTTGTTAACATGAGCTCTGTAATGGCTATAGTGATCTGTTAGAGTTACACAACAACTAGGCAATCAGAAAGATTTCTGAAACCCCAAACTGCCTGACATAGCAGTGATCCTTGCAAGTGAACTTGAACAGAATTTGGAGATGCCTGTAGCTGCCAGAAACCACAGAACCAGCCTTGATCAGCTCAAGGCAACCTTAAGCAGCAGCTGCAGATTGGAGAGCTTAGTGGAGACTTTCTAAACATCCTGGTTTATAATGTCTACAGAAGTCCCCCTCTCCTTGATAACTCTGACAACTTCCCCACCTTGAGAAATTACTAACAACTCGCCCTTTTCCATAGCCTCTTTGAGTATCTGAAGACTCTCTCTCTCTCTCTCTCTCTCTCTCTCTCTCTCTCTTTCTTCTTTTCCTCTTTTGCAAGTTTTCTTTTGCAAGCTCACCTCAGACAATGAATGCTTTGTAATCTGTGATTGGACTCTGTTTCATTTAGGGTCCCTTTTTGGGTCTGGGGTCTTCCTCTAACAGGTTAAAATGAGCTAATTATTGAGTGTTATATTTTGTATCCCCAGCACACAGCACAGTGTAAGATACGTAGTCCTTCGTTTTTGAAGAGGACCCACGACATCACAGGGTGATGTCTTGACTCCTGCATGAATTGGATTTAACGGAGGCAGAGTTGCTCAAAGTAGTCAGCCTCACTCTCTCATCCAGAGGCATCAAAGTCCAGTGGCAGGACAAAAGTCAAGATGACTGGTCATGGCCCGGAATACAGTGGATGACCTTGGCATCTTCCATGTCTGACCATGCCCTAAGCACTCCACAGTGCTTGCTTCAGCGGCTTTCGTGGCCGTTGGAATAAATTGTTCTCATCTGTCCATTCCCCTGGGTGAAGTCTTCACATGCTTGGGGTAGCAACTAACCAAGGGGTTTGAGGCTGTCAGTTACCTTCAACCCAGTTTAGCCCATGTGCCGAGACAAGTTTGTGAGATGTGGCCATTGCCCATGCTACAGCTTCTTAGAGCCATAGGTGAGAGTTGGGTGGCAGGTGGACACCAAAGGTGGATAAGCAGCCCTGAAAAGGGCTCGGGAGCCCTCAAACCAGAGATGTTAGTCCTCCTTGAACCTGCCATGATAAATGCTGTTCACTGATTTATTGTAAGGGACCACAGGCCCAGTATGACCTCTGGAAAATTACTAGGTTGCAGTTATCAAGGCCTCCTTGTGATAAGAACAAATTACGGACAAAGCTGTACCTCTTCCTGG